TCTGGGCATTTATATATTTCTAAAAGCAGAAAGATTCTGGCAATTAGTTCGTGAGATCTAGTACTGGAAGCATTTAAACGAAGGACAAACATGCATGACATGATCAGGTAAGGTGCCGCGCTTTCAAGCAGAAACTTGAAGACACCAGGATTTAAATGTTTCATGGCATTTAGCGTCGTCACTGGCATACAATTCAGTCGCTTTTTAGTACTTGGCGCGGTAGACTAGAGTTACTGATGATCAAAAACGCCTAAAATGCGTGCTTGTGTAGGGCTTCTTTGGAATACTGCGAAGCGACTGGAGGAGTAAACAGTTAGACAATAAACATTAAGAAAAAATTCGCTATTAATTCCAATATAAGCGCACACGAAGAAGAACCCTCATCCCACCTCCTAGGGTAGCTGAATGCCTAAAGTTTGACTGTAGAGTGCGCAAGAAAACCAACAAAACACCAAGGAAGGGCATTCTTTGCTGACTAAATTCGCAATGAACTCCTGGGTCCAAATGGGACTGCAAGTAGAGTATAGACATATTTATTTACGGATGGCATAATACTGTTGATCTAACGATTTGCCTCTTAATTGAAGTCGTTTTTCCAGTCGTGTTTTTTTAAAAGTGGAGATTCTGTACAAACAGAACGTTTCTCATGATATCATTTTGTTTGTGAGTGTTAAAAAATAACTTTTAAGGTGAAAATTTGAAAGGGAAGAAGGAATTTCATATGCGAACTTGCTAGTGGCTTGACATCCCAGATAGTTCGGTTGCCTGTGCGCTATCAAGGTGCCTACTCAACCCACCATTATCGGTTTTCGTTTTCCAAGTTACTGCTCGAACTATCTCAAGTCACCTTACAGGCGTGCGAACGGTATATATTAGGGCTAAAAGATATCATACTAGCAGCACAGGCACTCACAGACGGAAAACGGATGAGTCTGTGAAGTAGTAAGCTGACCAACTGATCGCTGTCTTTCGGCATGCCAACCGATCAGCGGAAACGCAAGTCCCCCGCCCGTGTAACCAGTTAGGCAGAAAGTTGGATATAAATCGGTTACTTGGTAGCTCAAAGACTTTGAAATATAGTGGGCACTTTTTATTTTTGTGTCTAAAAGCAAATCACCCAGGGACTAATTAGTTAATATATACGGTACTCGCCAAATTTGCTGGATAGTCAAACTCCCAAACCACATATTTTTTACGAACTATATAGAAAAGTGCAGTAGATGTGCTAATTCATGAAATTTTAGCCCAAAACTTTAAGATGCGCTTTTTAATCAAAATGGTCACTTAAGTAGGTTTTTAAGATTAATCCTCGTGGAGGATAGTCTCATAATACTTCGCTTACTTTGGAATGCCGACTTTTGAATGTAATTTTTTACGGCCGCCAACAAAAAATACACTCTGTGAAAGATGACTGCTTAAGTAGCATGAATTTTTCTCATAGACTTTTAATGCTCTTGTAAACAGAAATATACTTTACACAAACAATGCATAAAAAATATTCCTTCTCCTACTCATTTGGAAGAAAATTACATCACCTCCAATTTTTTACTAAAAGGAAGTGTATAATGTGGTTTTAAAAATGTTTCTAACCATGAGATTTTTAGGACCGTGGAATGCCCGTACATAAAACAACGTATCTACACATTCACTAATGTTTCTTGTACAATTTACAATATGGCTTAAATCAATTGTTAAATTTTATGAAGTCCGTTTGATTTCCTCTTAACAGCGTGTAGAAATATATGATTTCCGTACGCGGAAATTATATTGCTTGTAGTTTCGAAACCACATAGTCAAGTCCAAAGTCAGGATGGCTTCCAAATATTTAGCAAAGTTTTCCAAAACATCCTCCAAGAAAAACTTAAAGACGACATAATTTTCTTCTTAACGAGCAAAAAATGAGTATTTTTGCAAGTTTTTTATGAACTATATTTAACCTCATAAGGGCATCGAAAGTCTACGAAAAAAATTATGCTACTTAAGTTGTCATTTTTACGGGCTTTTTGCAGGCGGCGGAAAAAAGTTCATCCGAAAGCCGGCAACCAGAAGCAACTTAATCATTCTGCGTCTATGCTGTATGGTATTTAATATTACAACTCTATTTAAGTAAGCTTTTCGAGTCGTAATCCCATTTCAGATTTTCGATTAATATTTCCTGAGTTAACACATTTACTGTAGGAGTTTAAAAGAGGTAAACCCGATCCCAGGAACAGAAATCGTTTTCGCATGATGCTTTGCCCTTAAACTGAAATTAATCATCGCGCATAAAAACTGGTGAAGGGATGCGTAATTTAGAGGACGCGTTTGCTACACAACTATACAACTCATAAAATTAACAACTCGCACATTTATCGCAAATGTTTGTAGTCGCGCGATTGCCCTCTGGTCGCCCTACTGCGTGATTCAATCACTGGTGTTAATGACTTGTGTGTGCTAACCACTCTGTGCTCCAGTACCCCCCGGGCGGTCATCAGCGTTGCCGCTTGATGGCTCAATGCAGTAAATGCTACATCCTCTGTTTGTGGCTTATTGTGACTTTTGTCGTACCTGACGGTGGTTTCTTGAGTGAATCCGTAACGTCAGATGAGTAGAGCACTCGCATCGGCAGCCGAGCCTCATTCTCGCCGAATTCCTCCTCGAAATTTTCCCCATGCTTCAGATTTACACCTATTCCCAGTCAGAGCTTGTGTGGGCTGGGCGTCATAAACCAATCATCTGATGCACATTACTCCCTACCCCTCCCCTCTCTTGCTTACAGCCCCTGCCGCCCGACGGCCTGGTCGCCCGACTAATGAGCTGTCCTCTCGTCATTTAAATGTGTTCGATGCCTGAGCAGCGGTCACTTGACCTGCACGTGCTCTGAGGGTTGGTGAGTAAACGTGAAGATGCGTGCGTGCATGTGTGTGCGTGCGTATGTTCCCGATGTTTTTATGAGCTCTGACGGAATTGGCGCTAAAACAGCCCACGATTTCCCCTGACCTTTTTCTCTCCAGGCAACTGCCACGTCTCTCCGACCTCCTCCTCCACCACCGCCACCTGTCCCTGCTACTCTGAGCATTCTATCTTGCTCACTTCACTCCGCCTACCTCGCCCTCTTTAAACCCGAACTCAAGAATAACACTGTTGTTTTGTTCTTATATCTCTTGTGCCTCCTGCTTCCCCTCCTCCCTCCTCCCCCTCCCCCTCCTCCTCCTCTTCAAGCTCATAGCCCCACGCCCGCTACCCGTTCAAGCCCTGTGCCCGTTAAGTCCTTCTGCGAGGCAAGGGCGGACTCTTTCCACCGACCCCCGCACAAAGGAGGCAGTAGCCTGTTTATTGGCTGAGGACAGGAGCAATTATAGAGTACTTGCAGTATTACGGACATCACGCCTAATTTAAGGCCACACGGGGATTGCGCCACTATGACATTCTTTCGGTTCTGGCGAGAGAGCGAGTGTCTCTCTGACGAGGAGCTGATGGTGAGTTGTTAAAACTCTGCATGACATTCTTTTTTGAAGTCTCTACTGCATAAACACCGCGGGATTCCACATTGCTGATCTGTGGTCCTACTTATTTCTATTTGTATAAAACGTATTTTTAACCAGCCGGATAATGCAGGAAAGGTCAGAACTTCCAGGCATCGGGAAGGAAGACAGTTAGATAGTTCTACCTCCGCTATGCCTTCATATAAGTAGCCAACAGAATTATGTTTCCAGTGGAGCTACTTCCATCAGGATAACAGTTCAAGATTTACCCAAATCCTACCACCACATAAATTGAGTGGCACTTCTGCGGAGCCGAGGGAGGAGTATTCACAAAATATTTATCATATTCTGTTTTACTGGTACATAAGTAAACCTGTGCACTAATCTGAGTTCTCATCGTTGCAAATAAATTCCATGCGTTCATATCGTTTCTTCACATTTGTGAGACACATAGTTACCCCGAGTAGTGTTAATTAAGATAGATAGCAAGCACCATAGTGTATCTGCGGAAACCGCCCATTCGTCAACATAGTCTGGGTTTTGCGAATTATACTTAAGTTAAACGCAAATCATTTCTATTCTAATCTTTTTTCACGATAAGTTACAAAAATATGTGTGCAGATAACGTTTACCTTTGCTCGATCAAGATCGAACCAAAGGCAAGCGCTTTCGAGAAGTTGACATATGAAGGGAAGATTTCTTTGCAGTGAGTCAGTAAACGCAACGATCTCCTCCAGCATATTCAGCGTTTGTTTTGCACCTGATGGCAGTTGTCCCTGCGGGCGGCAGGAAACATGAAATTATTTACTGTGGCAGTGTTGATAAAACAAATTTACGCCTTATTTCTAAATCAAACTTCATCATTAGTGAAGGAATAGGGACAATTTATGACTTGAAAATGTGTGGGGTCGTGCGTTATCACGCCAAGTACAACCATCTTGGGCGACTGCGTGAGCTTTTTACTGTCGTAGTTGTAGGATAGCTTTGCCCTTTCGAATACTTGACCCTATTTACATGACATTGTTGTGTTATCTTTTCCGAGCATGTGATTGAGATTGACTGCAGAATATGTGTCAGAAAATGCCTTCTTTCTGTGAGTGCATCCAGTCCTTCCGAATAAGTTCACATGACTGCGTCAGAGGATGCCAAGGGAAAGTGTGGACTCACCTAGGAGATCTTAAGATCACTAAGAAGATTGCATAGGAAGTTAGTTAGTGCCTGGTTAGCATATTGTGATGCTATGACCAGATCTACCCCCTGTACTGGAGGCCTGGACGGTAAGTGATCGATATGCAGACATTTATTGCAATCGACTGAAGTTGCATCATAGTATGGCGATTTGTCAAAAAGGTTTGTCTATTTGTACACTTCCCCAATGTCGTGACACAGACTTGTGTATCTTCTCATGCCGATTAGACGATATGACATTTCGACCGTCGTTGCCGACAATGTTCACCAAGTACTCCTCACCAAGAGGAGAGCAGGCATGGTGACTTCTACGCCAATTAGTTTGCAGTAACAGTAGGCTTTTACAGCATGTACCGCACTCTCTCCTCCTCCTCCTCCTCCTCCTCCTCCTTCCCCTCCTCCACCACCACCACCACCGCCACCACCACCACCACCACCACCGCCACCACCACCACCACCACCGCCACCTGGGTTTGGTGTCAAGACATAGTCAAGAAGACCGCAGACGGGAGAGAGTACAGGCGATTGGCACGACTGGACCTGCACCTAGGCGTAACACCACACTCCCTGGTGCACAAAAAACACTCGATCAGAATTTTAACCAAAAACATCAAACGGTCAAAAAAGGGGGAAAAGGAGGAGTGTACAAACATGCACACGACCCGTACCCACAGCAGGAATGCAAACGCATTTACCGACAGGGAACCGGGCACCAGAGGGCTGCCAGTGCACACTAGGCTGCAAGAGCCACGGTTTGCTGAATAATGGAATAGCAGAAGCTTACAAATCTTGAGACCCAGAAGTGTGATACAGCCCTGCACTGAGTCTAGGCTGACGCCCTTCAGGGGCAGAGTGGATGAGATCATATACTGACTGCATCACGACATGAAACACAACCGTTCTACTGCGCCCTGAAGCCCTGCATAGGGTCGTTCACAGGAAGTTTTACAGTGAACATTGACAGCGCCAAGTAATAAAATACCCGTGATGACAATAAAAAACGTAAGTGATTTCAGCAGAAAGTAGAATAATTAAATAGAAGACACAATTTGCAAGCTCTAAGTAAAAGCATGAAAAATGGTAATTTCCTCTAATTCTTACCCAGTTATATTTTTAAAAGGAAGCATAAAAATAATTTTTCTTTTAAACTTCTCATTTGTGATGTCTTAACCAATCCGGACAGAAATGCACCAGACACTGTTCAGTGAGATTGAAAAATTGTGTCGCAAAGTCTTAGCGGTTATCTGAAGCATTTCAGCAAACATTTGTTAGAAACAACTCTACACCGAAGTGGAAACCAGCCAAAGATGCTGCGCACAGACGATTTTGTGCAGTCAAAAGTAATTCCATTGTGTAGACGAGGCATCTATGGTATAATGTGCCTAAGGGGTTCAGCCCTACTCAGCCGTCGCAGCCGAAAGTACCTGGTCCTAGCAGGACGGTATAAGCATTTTTCCGACAACTGTCCTGTGTGTTTAGGGGAAGAACACAAATTCAAATATAAAACCAGGAAAACAGCTGTTTAAATTTCGATTTATGAGATATTTTAAAGCCTGCGTAATAAAAATAAAGTTTCAATCTCTAAATTTAAAATTATCCAGGATTCCAAGTTGATAAGTGATTTTATACTGTTTTGCAATAAGTGTGCTTTTAAACTATTATTGGCAAAAAAAACAGGCATCAACACTAGACGCAATACTGGACATTCCCGAATTCGCAATTTTAAGCCACACCCCAAATGTGTGTACATATAATTACACACAATGTCAGTGGCCATGACGCAACCGACCTCGTAACAGTTCGCCCAGAAGATTCGAATCACTAACTCGAACGCGCCGCGACGCAGAAAGCTACACCTCTTTTCAGTTTACCAGTTTTTTCAGATGACATTTAAATGCTTATCTGCACAGATTTACACAATAGACAGTTATCTTTGCTTACAGATCGAACTGACTTCAAAATATTGACTCGTCTCTTCTCGGTCAATAATTAGTCGATTAGATCAATTTTATCGAAAATAAACATCCTCTAAATGTTCAAAACTCCTTTATTAAAGTCTTTTTTCTGTGTCGACTTCTTAAGATATGGACGGTTTCTATACGATTAAAGCGGGACATAAAACCACCCTCCCTATTTCGGATTTATTTAGGCACTGTTTTTTGTGACCGTTCCGTAGGCGTAGTTTGACTACGGAAGAATGCGTAAGCAGATTTTTGAGCTTCAAAGGAGCCTTGTGATTCATTGAAAATATTAGTAAAAGCTGGGTGATAAAAGTTCCTCGATCGCACTCAATATCTAAATATAGTTTTGAAGTAATGGGCAATTTCCTCACATCTTTTAGGAAACCCCAGTTTTTGCTGATTTTTAACGCTGCATACATAGTACCCCCCCATTTAAATCGTCAAATGTCCGACATTTATATGTTTATGTAGTCCGGTCTCCTTTATTGACGATTTTGTCAAAAGACTTTTATTGCGCCACATCTCATTGCAATAAAAACCGAACAAGAACAATGCTCTGGATTGAAACATATAAAATAAAAGTAACGGAGCTTCTACATAGCTCAATAATGTGCGCGGTTTTCTTGGTTTTGGAAAATATGCGGACATTTTAAGACGTGAAATTGTCCATGTGTACAGTAGGTGAGCTTTCGCATAAAATGTCAACCGAAATTCCGGTTGTCGCATGAACTTCTTTCCGGTTTCATGCAAAGACAGTACTCTGTAGAAAATGGCTAATTATGTGACATGCATTTTTCTCATCGATTTTCGATGACCTTAATAATCAATTATATTTCATGGCCAACGGGCATTTAAATGTTTACAACATTGTTGATTTAGCAGAAAATAACGTCGTTTTCCAATTGTATACCCAAAAGAAGAGTATAATTCGGTTTCAGAAAAGGTTTTAATTGTGGGACTTTTTTATATCATGAAATGGCCGTTCATGGAATTTCATGTCTCTGTATTTACCAGCATGACTTGTAAAGTTAACAATACGGCTCAAATCCACTGCTTAACCCCATATGATCTCCTCTTGATAACCTAGAAAAATGTATGGTTTTCCGTACGCGGAAAATATAAGGCTGTAGTTTGGAAACCGTGAAAGCAAGTGTAACTGCAGGTCGGATTAAAAATTATTAGGGAATTAGAGAAGTTTTAGGAACGCAAATTATACCCTTTTGTCGAGTATAGATTTAAAAATAGATATAATTTTCTACCGAAAGAAAAAAACAACGGATATTTTTATGCGTGTTTTCCATGAAATATAATTGAATTTTCATGGGCATTTAAAATCAATGAGAAAAATTCATACTAATCAAGGGGTCATTTTTTACAGAATATAGTTTTTGCGTGCAGCCGAAATGAAGTCCTTCCGAAATCCGACATCCTGTGATAACCGAAGTTTTATAGAATTACGCTGCATGACGATTAGTTGTTCAACCTATCTTAAGTAATCTTCTCGAAACAAAATACATTGTGGAATTTCGGTTGGTCTTTCATGGGTTAGCCCACCTAATGTGGCATGTAACGGCAAATTATACACTTATATTGGGGCTTGGATCTAAAACGATTTGCGAACTTTTCCAAAGAAGGGACATCCCAAGTACACGCTGCAGACATTTCGATAGTTGATGCTATAACTCCCACTTAGCTGAATATTTCTTATTATGCAGTTCCTTTAGACCACCGATTCCCTCCTCATGAATGCATAAAACCCAAACGGTGCCCGATGATTGCGGATGTGTATTAGGCAAAGGCCATGAAAAATGAAACTAAAGCTGTTTTAAACGAGCCTCTGGTCATCCGTCTGCATTCTGAACATTTATAAGGCGTTGAATTCACACTCCTTGGTGTAAAACGCTTGGACATATCGTAAAGCCCAATACCAGGTTACCTTCCCTTTCGCCTTATTTTGTGTAGTATAAATTCTTACGTATGTCCTATCGTAAACCCATAATCAGGGTTTCGCAATATTTCACTTAGGGCGATCCTAAGCCCATAATTGATGAATTTATTTTAAGCCAGAGCACGTTTTTAGTTAAAGATGAATTTTCTTGCCGGCGCTCAAATTAAACAACAAATTCGCTCTGAAAGAGGCAAAATTGGGCGGTCTAAGACTGCTTCGTATCAAAACCTATCGGCAATTTTTAATACTTAGAGTACTCGGAAACGAGAATTATTTGTTAAAATTCTTTACATAGGATAACATTTTGAAATCCTGTCTATTGGAAGGTTTTCACTTGTTCCAACGGAGTTTCTATCGTTCAAAACATTTTTATATTTTTTTGAATTAATGCTATTAGGTACCGTCAACGATTTTTTCGTAACCTCCTCTACGTTCTGAAAATGCTTTGCTGTATATTTTTCTCCATTGATTTTAATAGAACGTTGTAAGGTACAGGATTGGGCAATTAAAGAGAGCCAGCAACCGTTGACTTATTGATTATTGCCAGCAACTGGTTGATTTTAAAGATTGTGTGAGTGGACATGTTGTCATGACGAAGCAGTCAGTCCCTCGATCAACGAATCCTAATTGTCTTTTACTACTGCCTCTTATAATCGCTTCACCACCTGCAGATGACGATGCTGGTTCAGTTTTGTGTCATGAGGAACTAATCCGACATGAACAAATCCTTTCATGTTGACAGAACAAACTATAACAGAAAAGAAACTGCATTTGATGTCGACGCGCTGCTTCTCAAAATTTCTCGTCGCTAGATCGCCGAGTGCGATGGGGGGATTTAATAAAACAATCACTCTGTCCACAGTGATGGTTTCGTATTAACGCTACTTGGCCAATCGACAATGGAGAGTGTCTAGTTAACGTACCTAACGGGAAAGCGCAACACTGTGAACCTAACTGCTTAAAAAATTTCTCAGTATCTTTTGCGCAGAATGGCATCATATGTTAATAAAAATACATCTTTTTTTCCAGGCCGCTCACAAGCTCACCCACATGCAATTGAATGGCAAGTTATTGTTTTGATTTTTAAATTCACACTTTGACATTTTAATGAACATTTTACAAGTTTTCAAGCTTCTAGTTTCCAGCTTCTATGCAATTGACTTCAAATGCCTCATGGTGTGGTTTTTCATTTAATATTTTATTTTATAACGGTATATGCGAAAATAAACAGTAAGTTCTTATTGGTTTATGGAACTTCATACCAATACATCAGTTGTCATGTGTAACCAACGAAAAGCGTCATGTCATGATTTTTTATATTAGGAAAGATTATGTTAATATTTTAGCAGACGCCATTTTAGAGCCTAGAATTCATATCACTGTGAATAGTTAAAAAGCTCATGATGATAGAAACGCCTCAAAATATGGTTTCTCTTAATATGATCTTACTTTGGAGGACGCTTCCGCTATTTTGGAACACAATCTTCAGTATTTTTCAGAACACATGCGTTTTTGAAATTTGTTTAGCGGCCTTCGGATCTATTATTATCAAAAAACTGGAAAAAATCACGAAGTCCAATAATGCGAGCCTTTTGTTGAACTAATCAAACACAAAAGTTTATGTTCAACTGTGGTTTTGGTAAAATAGACATAGTTCTTGCTTTCAACATAATCACTTTTTAGTGATCCTCATTACTGCGCACTAACTCAACTAACGACTTCATCTTGCATTTTGAGAAACTTCATGCTGTTTCACACGAATGTGATTTGGCACTCCGCCAAGAGCTTTACTGAGGCCTGCTTCTTAGTAGGCTCTTGAAGACGTCAACCATACTCTGCCTAATTTCTGCAACCTATGTCTTGACTCATAATTCATTATTAAGCAGTATCAGTAGTGTATAACTTTTGGTGTCTTCGGATTTGAAAGGACCCGCCTCATAAACAGCTGTTTGCACTCGCTTTACGCGAAAAGGATCAAAGCAGAAACAATCGGACGAATCTCTCAATAATGTGAATTATGAGGGTGGAATGGATGAGCCTCCAACATTCATTCCCAAGTTTCTTGTACTTGTTTGATCTCTCCTGTTCTGGAAATATGAGTAGACGTTGTCAGTATTTTGAAAGACCATAAAAATTCCTTGTGTTAATTTGGAATGAAAATTTTCGCACCTCTTCCGATGTGAAACACGCCGGTGATGTTTTACGCTCAAGTACTAATATAAGACCGCCGATGGTAGTGCAACAACCACGGGGAATACTAACTGACACGCAGAATACTCAGTGGGCTGAGACTGCTCTTTCGATCCCAGGTTATCTGAGCATTCTTCCGAGTGTCGATTACTGAGATGCCAATAATGGTTGTCTCAGTTGGCAAGTTTATCTACAACCGGCAGTATCAATGCGACATTTTCAGTGACGCACATCGCTGATAAGGAAAACCAGGGAATTTGGACTAAAATTCGAAAGCCCATTGCAACAAGGCAAGAGGTATGAATTTTCCAAATATTCAATCCAAGTAAATATACATGCAGATGGTGATATTTTGATAAGCTTGGTTCCTACTAATTTCGTCGAACAAGAATGTGAACGCAAAGGCATACGAAATAAAAGTGCAAAACCTTTGGTTAACCTGTGTCGTTCGTTTTTTTCACTCGAATTTCATCGATAAGCAGGTATTTTGCTCAAACCAAATCGTTTTGTTCTTTAAACGTCTTGCGACCGTATTTACTGAGTTTCTTACAAAATGCATAAAATACCGCATTCCTCTTGCCGTTTTTGTAAACACAGCTTTTCGAGGAAATACGAAGGAATATTTTTTAACGAACCAGGTCATCCCGAGTAAAAAAACGCAGATTTGAGAAGCATGCATGTGCGTACGTTTTGTTTAAAGAAGTTTCACAATTCACCATTTCAACCCACCTTACAGTCAGAATATTTCGATGTTCATGATACTAGGTGGTTTGAAGCCTTTTTTTCGGATTAAAACTATATATCAGAGAAATGAACCTGAAAAATAATTATGCCTTATCATTTGCGATCAGAACACTACACGGTGTCTCTTAGATGCATGCATTCACAAGGCGCAAACGGACGGTAAAATGAGACTTTTTAGTTCCGTTTGATTTAAGTAGTCGAGGGTATCGGTGGTACTAAAACCTTCATTCATGAGGCTCCACTCTACGGTAGTTAGCCATTTTCAATCACCCAAACCCACAGTTTCGTCCGGTTAAACTTTGCAGTCGGCCCTTCTTATGTTAACTCCCAACTTCATGAACATTTAGGCGATGCAATTATTCGTGCATAGGTTTCTTTTGACTTTATTTTATTGCCTTACAAAGACGATTCATATGACTGTCTCCGTTGAATGAACGCCACTCAAACTATCACTGTCTGACCATATCCGCAACGGCATGTCGCCAAGGTCGTTATTTATCTTAAACAAAGTGAAACTGGAACAATATCTAAATGGCATCCAAGAAAGTCCCGTGAGAGGCCGCCAAGCACCTGCGGAATGACTTTAAGCACAAAGTTGGGTGCGCAGACCAAACGAAGCTTATGACTTTGTGTCGGGCGCTCGGTTTGAAGATGCAAGCGCTCACCTTCTACCGGCCTTTTGGGGAAACGCCCAAGCAGTTGGTGTGCGCGGGATTACGAAAGGAGGGATGAGGCGACCCATTCACCTCGGTTTTCGTCTTCGAGGCTAACGCGGCCAGGATGCAAAAAACGCAGTGTTGCCGTCCGACCTTCTTATTTTTTCTCAATCAAACACTCCTTGGACGCTTTGAAAAAGCTCTAATTCTTGCATTAACACCTAGAGAAGTGTCGCTGAGCTTGCATTTTTTTCTTGAAAAATGCCACTGAGAAACCAAGGAAATGACTACTAGCAGAAAAAATGTGCGGCTTTTGATGGTTGGGCAATTTTGCATTGTCATATGCACATAAAATCACTCCACTTATGGGGACTGTTGTTATTAATACTCATTAATCTATACAAAGAAAAAAATCCCGCATCTCAGAACCAATGACCATGACAATTCAAGTATTTTCTATTCACGGTGAAAATGATCGTTTTCCTCTTTGACGCACTCGCTGCAGATGAGGCGTTAGTTGCTCGGCCACCTCTCACTGCATCATTGATGACTGTATCACACCCCTACCTTGTACGGCTTAAGCAGCCATAAAAGGGGAATCACCTTGTCATCGAACTACCAGAACAACGAGTGAATTCAGATTTGGTACTCTTGTATACTACCTCGATACGGAATGAGACAAGGGGATTGAAATACAGAACTTGTTTTCCGTTTGAAGATTATCTAGGCAGATATCCTGATTTTTCATCTCACTTGCGAAGTTTAAGTGACACTTTTAAATACTACCCTCTTCTCCAGTAAGAATCTTGTTATTATCTGGAGTGAGTACTATTTATTTCTAACGACTAACTCCTCGGAGCATTTACCCATATCCTTCAAACCTCCGTGAGTATCCTTTAACAGTCAGACAAGAAACAAGGAAATACTTCTTAATTGGTTGATACGGCAGAATATTTTTGGCAACTGGAGTTTAATCTGATGTCGTCCTCATTGTTTTATGCGCCGAAACACCTATGATACCAACCTAAGGAAAAATAACATTTTACGGTTGAAACACTCCTCTTCAAGTTTTCTGCGAGAACATTTACCACATAATTACCACATACTATTCTGGTCAGATGTCATTCGGTGAATACAATGTTATGACTAATTAATGCTTTTTGAACATTCGAAAAAAGTTATCCACCATTTACAAATCTTCAATAATCTTGGTAAACTGCCATAATCTAGGGGAAAGGACCGCACATTTTACCCGGTTAGGGCCTTGAGAACAGTAGTGCTGTAAATTAAGCATATTCTTAAAGGCAGAATACTATAATCTACATAGAAAATGGATGCTAGAATGACCCTTTCTGGTCTGTTAGCGATCATCGACCAACCATACCCGGGGTTCCATACCTCATGATTGGGCATGGATGGCTGGCGACGGTTAGGTATCCAGAAACGGCCATTCCAGTCTCCCTTGTCTTTGTCGGTAACGTCATTCTGCCACATTATGCACCGCTATGCGGCTACAGGTGAGGTTCGAGAGGGAGAGCCCTAAGGCACAATAAAACGACTGAGCTCCGTAACGCGATCTTGCGAGTCTTTCTGTTATTGTTTTAAAATAAATATTAAATGTAAGTTCGTTGCTTTTCGGTTTGCGAAAAATGGATTAAAATTACTGCTGTCAAATAAACGTGAAAAGATGCCGTGTCTGGGTAAAAGTGCTTCAGATTAGAATTTTGAGTGACTTTTCTAGACACCAGAAACCCCCTCTGTGTGCTAAGATAAACGAAATTTCAAAATGGCAGGGCTTCGAACACATGGCCGTTTATTATCCAGTGAAACAGTGTACTTTGACTTTAAAATATTTCGACGCGAGGAAAACGGAAATAACTGTATTAATGTTAGATGGGCACTCACGTATCGCGCTACGGAACTCACTCGTACTGTTCTGTCTTTGGGCTCTCACTCTCCCTCGAGCTCCGCCAACGGTACACAGGCAAAATAGCATTACCGACAAAGACAAGGGAGCTAGTCATGCCCAACTCTGAGATGTGAAACACCCAGGGCTCGATGCGTCGAACTGCTGGTTAGAAGTCCAACGCCCCCTAGACACTGAGCCACGGGGCTTGTTGTCCTATCGGTTACAATCGGGCACATGCAATGGTTGATGGAGGCTAAGCAATCGCGCCGACAGAACAAGGACCCCGTGGCTCAGTAGCTAAGTGTGTTGGACTTCCAACTGACAGATCGCGGGATCGAGCTCCAGGTGTTCCGCACCGCAGGGTTGGACATGGTTGGCCAGTAAGACAGAAATGACCATTCCCGTCTCCCTTTTCTTTGTCGGTAATGCTAACCAAAGTTTTTTTAATTCTCTGGTTTGCAGCTTGGCACAAATACAGAGGAAGTCAGCCAAAGGCCTCACGGTTGTGCCAAACCCGACGCTGGCTGCGCGCCATTATCAGTGCTGTCAAGAACTTTTGGCCGTGATTACTCGTCAGGAGATTAAGTGCATGTAGACTCATTCGAAAGACATCAGGAAACAGGAAAAAATATCTCAGTGCAAATACATTTTGTCGACCCATAGGTCAAGTCTAGGAACAAATCGTCCTGTCGCTGTGCTGTCGAGTATTTTAGTTGCGGACTGTCTTTCGTTGCGCTAATACGCGCAATTATACTCTTTAGGCAGAGAAGAATTTATTTTTTTCTTAACTTTTTTTAGAATTACGAGAAATTTTCAACTGCTTTGATGCGGATGGTAATGGAAGCATCAGCAAAGAGGAATTTACCAAAATCCTCAATCTGGCGTGTCAGAATTATTCGCCTGTCCAGATGAAACTCATAATGAGCAAGGTGGATATAAACGGTAATTTTTTGACTCTTTTAAATCTTTGCATTATTCAAATCAATATTTCATACAGCGTTGGTACACCATCACATTTTTTTCCAGCAAACCAGAAATTTGGACATTTTGTGGATCTCGCAAGATGTTGCTTTTATTGAACTAAGAAATAAAATCTAGGTTTTATTATTATTAACGGAACGTTTTAGTTTAAACGTCGGCATAGTTTAATTTGCAACAAACAAGGAAATATTTATGAATACGCGCAGACGCGATGCATATATTGCGGAGGCGCTTTAAGTTCTTATCTATTCAGAGTGGGCAGGAAGCTTGCTGTTCTGAGCGAAAACATCCTATTATTCCACAAATTACAATGTAAAATACTTTAACTCTGCAATTTACTAATGGCACTTCGTTTCTGGTTTCTTATTTGTTGAACCAGCAATTTATTGCACAAAAGGCTTATTAGACTGTGCGAAATGAACATTCCTTCGGGTTGTTATAGGCTCATTTTGTCAGTCGAGAAGAATGACGCATCGATATGTGTACAACTAACCAGACTAGGAGTCTATAATATAATCTTGCCAGGTGGCAGTTCGGCAGTCTCAGGGAATGAAAAGAAACATTAACTGAAATTCTGAGAGACGTTCTCGCTTTGGAAAGATTACTTAAGTGAGACTGTAATATTGAGTAGCTTGCGACGTAGTCACGTGATGCTTCAGACACGCCAGGGTGTTGGCTTTTGAATGCAAGTCTTCTCGACTGCCCGGAGAAGCCGTACTCAGTGATTAATTGCTACTCAAGTACGATAAATGTTTCACGTTGGTTTCTTATTTCCTCAGGAATTCAACTAGCCGTTACTGAGACCTGCACAAAATACGCTTTCTTTTACTTAGTAGGTAGCAAACTCATTGACTTCATATTCTGTATTCGAAGACGCGATATGTTAATGCTTTGAAAAAGTTTTCATTTTCCGAATAGATTTGAGTCAGTTTAGCCGTCACATTAGCGTTAAGCGTTTCCAGTCCACAAGATATACACTCGCTGCGTAAGAAAAGTCATGTATTCCTCTTTGCTTTTAAGAAGATACCAGGTGGAGCTAATAAAGTTTTGCAATAAATGCGATCTATGTTTTATACCTCATGGCAGACATTAATAAACCGACAATTACGATGCTGTATTAGTTTACACTGCACGGTCTTAAAAAATATCCTTCTTCGAGTATATGATATGAGAAAATTGTAATCTGCTGCCAAATAAGCATGAGATAAATGTTTTTATATGTGGTTTTCAAAAAATATGTTTGAATTTATAAAGGCATATGAAATGAGTATGAAAATGCATGCTACATAAGCAACCGTTTTTACCGAGTGCCAGTTTTACAGAAGACCAAACAATAAATTCAAGTGCCAACACCCCAACTCGTCCGAAATATTATAGGATTATGCTGCATTATAATCAGTACTATAACTCCATTCAAGAAGTCTTTCCTACTTGAAAACACATTTCCGAATTTTGGCTAACATTTCGCGAGATCCGTCACTGACTGTACTTGTTCCCTAAGCTCAGTGAGTGACCGATCTAATGAAATGTTAGCTGCAATTCTGAAACGCGTTTTCGATTAGGAAAGATTACTTGGTCGCGGTTGTGATACTGATTATCTTGAAACAATATTATAACATTTCGAACTCGCAGGACGTCAGCTTTTAAACACACTGTCTTTCAATTCCCTGTAGAAACCGTACACGGAAAACATTCCTACTTATTTAGCAAGCATTTTTCCCATTCGTTTTTCGATTATCTTTAAATTTCAAATATATCTTATAGAAACCATAAAAAAGATGTGCTTTATTTCAGCCAACTAATAGGGAATTTCTTCTTTATATTTTATACTCAAAGAAGGGGTATAATTAGGTTTTAAAAAGGTTTTCTAAATGACGACTGATTTGGAGTCTAATCATTCACTGCATTATCGCTTATTTATTTCAGTCTACAAGATGCATGCGTTCCGCGTAAAGAAAATCACATATTTTTCTATGCCATAAAAAAGATATCATACAGAGTCCATAAAATTTAGTAATGAATACGGACTATGTTGGGCATTTCATAAGGGGCTTTGGTAAACGACCAGGTGCGACGCTATGTGAATAGACATTGCGCGGTCTTAAAAAATCTCATAATTAGAAACTTTTTGAAACCTTATTATACTCCTTCTTTGAGTATAAGATAAAGAGGAGACATGATTCTCTATAAATTGACTGAAAGGAAACATATTTTTGTCCGTGATTTCTATAAGACATATCTAAATTTGCAGAACCATCGAAAATCAATGGAAAAAATGAATATTACAAAGGAGTCATTTTTCCGAGTGTGGTTTCTACAGGATATTGAAAGACAGTGTATTCAAAAGTTGACATCCTGTCGAGTTCGATATGTTATAACATTGTGCCTCAAGATAATCAGTGTCGCAACCGCGACCAAGTATTCCTTCCTAATCGAAAAGCATTTCAGAATTTCAGCCAACATTTCATGATATCGGCCACTCGCTGTAGTTTGATGTGCTAGGGGAACCAAAAAGTAGTGTCGTTTTCTTAGAAAATAGTTAGAAAAGTGCTTACCGGAAAACTTTCCATTTTTTGTTAAAGTATAAAATTGCCATCGTTATCAATCACTGTTGCACATCCTGAATCTATGTCTCCGGTCCCTTCTTTTATATGAAAGTGTGTTTTGATGCAAAGAATTCTAAGCCAAAACTGTAAAATCCTTCGTGTTTCCAAAGGTTTTATGTTCGGGAAGTGCTTTCGAGTTCTGATAATAAGTTTGCTCACGGGTAGTAGAATAGTGTTGAAGGGGAAAAGTTCTCAAAACAAGTTTCGAGTCTCGTTCCTGGTTTTGCCTCTTATTGTCGTGCAGCAGAATGACGAGTTTTGTATTGATTAACATTGACTGTTCACTGGCAAAATCACGGTTCACCTGTTCTAATTTTTGACGATAGAGGCCTACAGTTATGGTCTGACCGTGTCCCAGTAGTCCAAAGTTAAGTGTTCATACTACACTCCGCACAGGGGTATGGGTCCTATTTCAGTGTCGAAACTGACTCCTGGTCTGTGGAAAGTCACCGGTGTTTATACTTATTGTTAACATAAAGCATCCATTTCTCGTCTCCAGTGACAATCCAGTTAAATGATTTTCTTTCCTGTCTGCTTGGCAAAAGCCTTCAGACTGTAGAATGCGGGTTTTGATTTTCACCAAAAGCTGGGGTGGAACCCAAACAGTGAGGGTTGGTTTGAGCCGCGTCACAAGGGAAGAGGAGGGAGGAACGGGGACGCGGAGACATTCATGCAGTTAATCGATCCTTGGCCACTGTAGACGCAGAACTGCAGTAGGTTCTTCGGTGTGCACAGGACCGGCCTCCATATCCTAATGGCAGTCACTTCTGCTGTTGCTAGTAAACGATGATCCAGTTGCTTCGCGGAGTTATTTGGGACCTTGAAAATTCCACGGAAGCATTCGCCAGGATCCACACGATGCCTAGAATCAACCATATGTGCGAGGATGGAGCTGTGGGTGCCTTTTCCCCAGCCATGTCGGTCGCAGTTCTCGTATTCTTGTGGATATACACCGACTGACACGACCAATATAACCTGCTCCGCAGGAGCAGGTAAATGAGTAACTGCCAACGACGGTGGTCTGAGCTGGTAGCCCATCCTTGCCCTTCTGCTTAAGACGGGGTTGGCCGAGAACAACATCTTAAAGCTTGCTGTCGGGAAGGTTCGTGAAACAGCTGGGTCAAGGCGTCTTCTCAGGAGTTCCGTCGCCGCATTCCCTTGAAACGGGATTTTAAAAACAGAGTTTTTTTCTTCAGTCGTCGAAGTGACGAGATTTGCGGGTCGATCGGTAAGATCTCTAAAATAAATCTGTTAGGATACCCGTTCTCCCTAATAAGGTCCTTGATTCTTTTAAGTTCTTCATCAATACTATCTGTCGAACAGATTTGTCTAGTCTCTCGCGCCAACGATCGGAAAAGATTACGTTTCTGTTGGAGGAACATGAAACTGCAGAAGGTTGTATGTTGTCCTGACCAGGTGTTTTTTCGACTGACGCTTCCTGTTCAATCACACTACTTTCCAGTGTATTTAATGCCATCTCCTCGAGCTACTGCACCTAAGACATTGGCCTACATCATAAAACCGACTTGGATCTGCGCCAAAAACTCTGCGTGGCCGGTTATAAGTGAAAGCATGAGAGCAACTTGTAACCTCAGTGTCATCCTTAAATGTGATGTCGAAATGCACTTTCTTAGTGCAAGCTGAAGAAAGTGCCCACTTGAAGCCTGGAATACCACTCAACAATTTGGACTTTTCTTAGATTCTGTCAGAATGGGAATCCAAATGTGGCATTATAGCAAAAACCTTCTGCCTAAATAATTAATAATCCGTTAGCGGAAATGAAGCGTTAACTGTTAACTTAATATCGGCTTCCTATGCACTAATTTCCTTAGGCGATGGCCAGATTGGATTTGACGAATTCGTTGAGGCCTTCAGCCCTGAACATCTAACTTCTCCTCCGGACGCATCAACCCTCAGACAGACCTTTGATGTTTTTGACAGGGTCAGTTCTTATTTTTTTTTCTTATTTTTAAAGCAATGCAACATGAAAATAGTATTTTCAGAAAGTTTATGGTTGCTTATGTCAGTAAAAAAACAAAACACTTCGGTTCATATTTGCCTTAAAGTTGAGTCTCTTGTTCTGTTTCTCCGTTAACCCTTCAGTTGAACAGCCACAACCGATTTTATATGCGACACCTGGGATCATCAAATGAGGTACTAAACGTCGAGTATGCTTTCAATCGCAGACGTGTTCGTTAGCCTGTTAGGACGCAAGAGTCCAGTTTCGGCACCATTTGAGAAAACCATGATCCTTGATGACATATCTACGTATATCAATGATCATTGTTAAAAAATCAAAATACTACTTGGCAAACAAGCGTAAAATTTTGACAAATACAAGTCAGACCAGTACATTCACATGGAGACATGGTAGGGTAAAATATAGCACTAATTAGGGAAGTTGACTAACGTTCATTTTAACACACAAGCCGGGTGTGGAATAGGAGGAGGAGTTTCTGTCTACCCAAAACAGTTCGTGTAATCTGAAAGTAGCGGGCTCTGCTGTTGCTAGCAGATGTTGACCTAGTGATTTGGGATAGTTTGTGGGGACCTTATAGATCATTTATGTGTGAGAATAGCGCTGTTTATACTCCTAGCTTTACCTTTTCCCCAACCAAAGTTTAGTTGTTTGGCTTGTTTTAACCGCGGAAAAGCACTGTACTCTGATTTTAGTTGGATCTCGACAAACAGGATTATGCAATCTGAACAGCAGTCAGTAGCTACCAACATTTAGGTCCTTATCGTTGGTCTTGGGCCTATATGCATCCTCTGTCTGAATCTTCTTCCCTTGAATAACTGTGCCTAGATAAGTACGAAATCCGAATGTCTATCATTTAATCCTTCATAGTGTACAGTAGCAGAACACAGTTGACAAGCCCACGCAAAAAGTGGCCTATTCTCTAGAGAGGAGAAGTCTTCCTTCACACGGATTTTTTTAGCTGGCAGCTTGCCAAGAAAGTGCTCAGAGATTATGAGTAGACAAGGCCCATGCGTCCACTGTTTTACCATAGCAATTTATGCTTAATATTCGGAAATCAGGTAAACACCAACGTCATCTTGTCCAGGCTTTTGGTCCACGCCCTTCTTAAAACGTTAAAAAAGCGCACTAAGACACTCAGTCACACTCAGCGTGGACTCCGACGTCTACCAAAATAACTGCCTGCGGACTGAAACGCAAATGTTTGCACGAAAAGTTGAAGATAGCGCATGCTATAGTTGTTTCGGATTCTGTTTGCCTGCAAATATACAGGACTGGCTGGACAAGGACTCCCTTTCAAATACTGGTGATAGTCTACTCGAAGACCATGTTTTCTCCACGTCCACTCCAGGCCGGTCAAAATCTCGTAGCAGTGTCATTAAGGAAACATGTGTAAGTTCACAGCCGGGATAGCTGCCCATAAAGATGGTCTAGCCGGCTCCGTAGAAAAGCTGCAGATCCTAGTACATACAGACCCTGTCTGTCAAGACCTCTTGTAACTCACATGCGTCTTTTAAAGTGAATCGAAAAAATCATTTCACGGTGAGTGAGCGATCTCATGGAAGGTTGGCTGAAATTCTGAAATGCGTTTTCGATTAGGAAGGATTACCTATGCGCAGTTGTAATATTGATACTATTGCCGCATAATCCTATAATATTTCGGACTCGGCGGGATGTCGGTGTTTGAATGCGTTGCTTCTCAAGCTCCTATGGAAACCGAACCTGGTAATAATGACTACTTAATTAGCAGGCATTTTTAAAACTGATTTTCGCTGATCTTGCAAATTCAAATGTATTTTATTGAAACCACAAACGAAAATATGTTTTCTTTCAGTAGTTTGATAGAGGATCATGGATCTTCATATCTGTTCTCGAAAATACATTTGAATTTGCAAGATCAACAAAAATCAATGCGAAAAATGCATGCTACTTAAGCAGTGATTTTTACCAGGTAAGGTTTCCACAGGAGATTGAAAAGCAATGCATTCAAACACCGACATCCTGCTGAGTCTGAAATATTATAGGAAGTTGCCGCGATAATATCAATATACCAACCGCGTCTAAGTAATCCTTCCTAGCCGAAAACGCATTTTAAAATTTCAGCCAACATTTCATGAGGTCGATCACTAATTGTAATATTGAAAGACACTAGCCCGTTTGTGCACAAATGAAAAAGAACATGCCTTGTAAGAGGCCGACTTCACCCACATAATGTCCGACCGTAACTTGCAAACGCAAGTAAAAAGGCGGTAGAGAAGGCAACCCTGCAAAAGCAATTCAAATTTTCCATAGTTTGGGTTCCAGGAATTTGAAAGTGCACTTTGGTCTTCTGCTAAACGCCATTTATACCGGAAAACGTGTGGAAAGGCGAATATTGATTGCGTGTACTTTTGCGCTGGCCATGATGGCATCAGCACTGTCAAGTTCAAGCTTAAACGCCTGTAATTTGCAGTCGTCCTGGTTGGCAGCCTACCGAAAGTCTAAAAAGACCGTCCGAGGGCGTGTCATACTTTGCATCGACAATAAAAGACACAGTCATTCTGCCGTATTCACTGTGCACATTAATGGTTGCGGCTTTCTCGCAGGAACATGGGGTTGAATATTTAATGTCCTGCCAAATGACGCCCTACTATTATATTTTACGGAAGACGGAAAATACCTGTAATTCCCTTCTAATGTTCCCTCTGAGACTGAATATATATATATATATGTTTGCTCAATCTGAATCACATAGACACTCCTTTGTACTTTAAAGAGAGCAGAAAGACCCCCGTTGAAAAGGTTGTTTTATCTCCCTATGCGGGTATTGTTAATAACGAACAGGCCTATTAACGGCTAACATTCTTCTGCTAAGACGTTCTCAAATTACCGATTTATGCTAATGTTTTCAACGTATGTGATTGTTCGCCTGGTGTGAGATTAAAGAGTATTTTTTAGGCAAATTCTTGCCGGAATATCGAGCATTGACACATTCTGCAACAGGAATTCTTCACTTAAACGAACAGCTAATAAACGTTCTCTAGAGTTCATAAGACTGTAGCTGATATCTTTAGATTCGTCCTTGAACGAACTTGAGGGCGCGCACCGTTTTACGAAATGACAAAGAAAATCTTCCAAGTACATTCGTGTACGCTATTATACAGACAATCTTGACGAGAAGGTTTTCAATCAGGTTTGTTCTCTAAAAAGGATACTCCGGAATATCCTTTGGCGCAGTTTTCTTGCACATAATCATTGAAAATTAGTGGAGAGAAAATTTCGGTTCCTAAGAATTGCACTAGTCTACAAGTTTTCTGAAACGTGGTCCAAAGATTCAAATTTGACAAACTACGTGGTTTGTCTGAGACAAATAAGGAATTAGTTTTGAACTTACATTAAGAAACCAGTTCGGCGCATTTCGAACGTGTTATGAATTATGGCAAAAACGCAAACAAGTAATTTCAAAATTCGCGCAAGTACGCATATTAATTATTGACTTATTTGAGTATAAAGTTGCGCATTGAAAGTGAAATATTTTATCCATGTTTTTCCGAAAATCCTACGTACAGTGGGTGACTGATCCCGAGAAATGTTGACCGAAATTTCGAATTGCGTTTTCGATTTGGAAGGATTACCTATATGGTGTTGTAATAGTGATTATTTGTTGGTATAATTCTGTAATGATTCGGACCTGACAGGCTGTCAGCCTTTGAATGCACTTCTCTCCGACCTATAAAAACCGTAGTTGGTAAAAAATAACTGCTTAGGTAGCGGGCGTTTTTCATATTGATTTTCGATGGTCTCATAAATTTAAATATATTCTATAGAAAACATGTATAACGTATGCTTTTCTTTATTCCTTTGATAGAGAGTCACGCCATTCTTCTATTTTATGCTTGAGGTTTTTAAACGTTTTTCCAATTCCGGAACAATTTTGAGCTTCGTCAAGCGTTGCATTAGCGTATAGCGATCTCAGTCTACAAGGTACGTGCTTTCCGATTAGGGAAAATTGTATATTCGCCTATGTCTTTAAAAAGATGCCATATAGAGTCCATAAACATTTGCAATGGATGCAAACTATTTTGTAAATTTTATAAGGAGCATTTGTAAACGGAAAGGTACGATGCTGTATAAAAGGGATGTGCATGGTCTTAAAAAATTTCATAATTAAATATTTTTTCAAAACGTAATTATACTCCTTCTTCGGGTATAAAATATAAAGATGACGTGATGCTCTATCAGGTGAGTAAAGAAAAGCATATTTTTATACATGTTTTCTATATGATAAATTTAAATTTATGAAACCCTCGAAAATCAAGATGAAAGATGTACGCTATTTAAGCTGTCATTTTTTTACTAAGTACGGTTGTATAAGTCGGAGAGAGGTACATTCAAAAGTAGACGGCCTGCTAGGTCCGAAACATTATAGAGTTATTCTTAAAGATAATCACTATTACGACCCCATCTAAGTAGGCTTTCCTAATCGAAAAGGCAATTCAAAATTTCATGAGATCGGTCACTCACTGTACAGCAAGTGGGCTGGCTCATGAAATGTCGACCGAAATTCCGAAATGCGTTTTCGTTTCGAAAAGTTTGATCAAGATGGGTTGTGAAACTAATAATCCTGCAGAATAAGTCTTTAATAATTCCGTTTTCTTAGGATTCTGGCTTTCGAAGGAACTTCTTTCGAGCTGCATGCAAAAGCAGTACTCTGTAGAAAATGGCTACTTATGTGCACTTTTCACATCAACTTTCGTTGTCTTTAAAAATTCAATAATATTTCGTGACAAACGGGCATTAATATATCCATTTTTTGATCATTCGTTAGAAAATAACGTCTTTTTCCAATGTTATACTAGAAAGAAGGGTATAATTCGGTTTTAAAAAAGTTGCTGTTTGCAAGATATTTTAATATCGTGAAATGGCTGTTCATAAAACGTCATGCCTCTGTATTTACCAGTGTGGCTTGGAAAGTTAACAATATGGCTCAAATACACTGCTAAATTTTATGAAACCCATATGGCCTCCTAATACCATAGAGAAATATATGGTGTTCCGTACGCGGAAAATATACGGTTTGTAGTTTGGAAACTCTGAATGCAAGTGTGACGGCAGGTCGGGTTTAGAATAACGCGCGAATTAGAGAAGTTTTTGCAAACCGAATTATACCCTTCCGTCGAGCATAAAGTTAAAAGTAGACGTATATTTCTACTGAATGAGCTAAAGAACGAATATTTTTATGCGTGTTTTTCATGAAATATAATTGAATTTTCAAGGGCGTGTAAAATCAATGAGAAAAATGCATGCTAATTAAGTAGTCATTTTTACAGCGTATAGTTTTTGCATTCGGCCGAAATGAAGTTCGTTCGAAATCCGACATCCTGGAGTAACTGAAGTTTATAATATTACGCTGCATGATGATTAGCTTTATCATCATTCTAGTAATCTTCTCGAAACAAAACGCATTGCGGAATTTCGGTTGACATTTTATGAGTTAGTCCATCTTCTGTAGATTAATACATGCATTGAGAAATAAGCAAAAACCACATGCAACTCATGCGGCCTTGCTTACTGCGCAAAAGGGCTTTTGAACCAATTCTTAGCAAGACCTAGAAGGCCAGAATGTTTGAGTAATTTGGGATTGCTTCCTCTATGCACAGCAGTGTAGTTGCCTCACCTATGAAATCTCTCCTAATTAAATGTCCAGACGATCTTCAAAAGTTTCGACACACAAAGCAGGTACATTTTACAATAAAATCTGAAGCAAAGATATCAGTTTAAAACTACTACGGTAAGGCATTCGTATCTACTGCTTCTATCCTGTTTAAATGGTTTTCTTCTTTATCAAGGAACGTTTAAGCATAGGGTAGGCAGAAGTAGATGCTTTTAGAGAGATCTTGGCCACTGCCTTTTGAAAACCCGACCGCAGGCGTACTGTGCACTGTAGCAGAGGCCAAAATGAAATTAATTTACTCCACCCCTGCTGCTGCTTGCTGCTTGGCGGAACTGGCATCAGACTGAAAGTCGATGCGCAACTCGGGGAGTCACATAAGATTCCGGCAAACTGGTCATAACGTGAAACATGGTTGTGTCTCAGAGAGGTCCTTGACCACAGGGTATCAAGAAGTAAATGTGGATGATCAAACTACCAGAGGAAATGCTACTTTAGCTGTTTCCTCTTGTCCTGACGCGATAGCCGAAATGAACGCATTTTCACAATCCTAAGTCAGGGAGGTGAAATTGGCGTGACGGTTTTTATCGTGACATGGAATGTGCAAGCTGCCTAGAGGTCGGTGGCAGCGGCGGCGCGGTGATTGTTCCGTCACGTCCAAAGCCATCTGTAGTCGTTATCTGTCCCTATTTGGGGCAAACGCCCCAGCCTTGACCGCCGGTGGCCAATCAGTGAAGGTCAATAGTCCACCATCGTCAGGCGGTCATCATGCAGAGGACATGACTCATGCACGACTCAGGTATTCAGCTGTCAAAGTGTGTTGTGCGATTCAAAGACGGTCTAGATAAGCAGACACGCGCGTGACAATGAGCGTAGATTGCCACATTGTCCCCTAAACCCTCCCGCCTCCAAACGTCCCCTTAATCTGGCCACCGAGGTTCTGTGGTAAAAAAATCAATATTGCGTTTTCGAAAAACCATTCCTTTCAGTCAAGGTGGGAGTTTAAAGCTTAAGAGGCGGAAGCCAATCAAAATAAAACAAATGCTGAAGGCATCCAAAGTATTCAAAAGGTAACACAGACTGTTAGGTCAATGAACTACATCTGAGCACAATGTCATGATAGGAGGTTCTCAAGGCTTTCCTGCTTTGAAATACTGCCTAACATCCGCATTTCAAATTCCCTGTTGTGCAGCGTCATATATTTAACTTCGAAACGGTTATGCCGGCCATCACTGACACATTACAGATTATAAAACACGGGGATACGCATCCAGTGGAGAAATGACGGAATCAAACCGGTTATTTTTGTCATTTTATTTCAAGCTTCTCACTTATTAACACTCTATGCCCGTCAATGAAACTTCGATTTTTCTATGTTGAACACAGTATTCTGATTAGGTAAAAGGTAGTTCGGAAAACATGCACTATGTAGGGCCAACGCTACCTGAGAATTGTGCTGCTTATACAGCTGAGATGCTCCTTATGCTTGTGCTACTTCTTAAGAGGCCTGGCGAAGTTCCTTTCACAGTCCCTAACTGAATCCTTTTTGGCATTTGTCTTTAAAAAAAGACCTTTACCTGAAGTTTACCCGCCAGAACCCCTAGATAGCTTTTTTTAAAAAACGAGCCTCTAACGGTTTACACCAAACAAACAAATATCGTCAGTTTTTGACCCTCAGAAATATTTTTTAGAGTATGCAGCGTCCAGAGTGCTGACCAATTACGTACATTGGAAATTCCCAGAATTTACAGCATTAGACTCTGATGCAACGGTAGATTTCAGTTTATGTCGGAAAAGCTGACGACTGGAGATGTAGTGCAGCCGTTATGTTAATGACGAAGATGACTGTGTTTTGGAGATTTTAAGAACGATTGGAGCGGTCATCAGTAACCTAATCATCATCAACAGGCGGGCAAAACCCAATCCGATGCTGGGCGAACTCGCAGCCCTGACACAGGTTTAATGCTTTTGAACGTTAAATGGAATGGTCTAACACCTAACCCACGGCTCCTTTTCTGCTGTATGCAATCAGATCTGCCCAATTACAGCCATGATAGAGATGTGTCCCTTATGCATGCAACCGTCCGAGATTTCCCATGGTTTTAAACGATTCCACCCTCTTTTGTATCCCCCAACTTATGGAACCGCAATATACCAACCAGTAATAGGCTGGGGTATGTATTTTTTTGGACAAGTGGTACCGTACTAATCTTCAGCGTATGGGGGTTTTTTAAAACGTCTTATGTATTGCGCGCTGTTTCAGGACCACGATGGTTTCATCACCGCCGCTGAACTGCTCGAGGTGCTGCAAGAGATGAATTTTCAAATCACATGCAAGTTCCATCACTAAACAAAATTGATTTTGCAAGGGAAAGTCACGTTTCGCCATCATCAACCACTTAAAATATCACGTCTTTTTTCTGCTAGGTGGTTTATGGTAACTGCTGTTTCTGTTGTGAGGAGCTGTTATCACATTTAGTACAAGGTTAAGATAAGCTTGCATGCGAACGTTTGGGCTAGGAACCGAAATATTTCGGTCACATTTCCCTAAATTATTTCTCCTTAATTTGCAAAATTACAGTCTGCGGAATATTTTGATAGTGGCTTCAGCTTTTTGAAGATTTGTCGTTCTCAAATTTTTTGCAGAATCATTTTGTTGGAATTGGAAACTGCAAACACATATTTTCCGCCGTTTATATCAATTAACTTTGACACGCATTTGGATTGAGATATATGCTAATATGAAGATGGGTCCCTGGTCATGGGTACCTTAAAAATACACAAACGGTCGTTTAATTGCAAAACTGCCGTTATTCTTTACTTTCGAATATCCGCAGTTTTCGCGGCATTTAGGAATTTACTGGGAAGACAGACAGGCAGAAATTATTGCTTATAGTGGAGTGCAGACAGCTGAAGTTAGGGGTGGTTTATCCGGATGTAGAACTGATTTACCAAAAGACAGTCATCGCGATCTTCTGACCACATTTGTAAGGCAATAGTTAACCAGACGTCGGACCCCAACTGGTGTGACACTAGCTGCCTGTGGCCTGGAACTTTAGTAACAGGAGGTAGCGCTATGGTTCAGTGTATTCAAGCAGATAATTCATAGCCAATAGAAGCGAAGAGACGAGTCCCAGGAAGCAGTCTTCAAGAAGTAGACACGATCGCTGGGACAAGAGCTCAAATAACCTGACTGTTCGGACACCTCCTCGAACCCATCATCAGAGACAGAAGCAGATATGGGTGGCTCGTGCTCAAGGGGCTGCAGTATTTATAGGATGCAGTCGTCATGCCACCGTGACTCCCTGATGATTGTTTGAGGGTCGATATTCGCGCCGTTAATTGCTTCCATTTCACCACGTGTGTTGGATGTCGGTGTTATGATTGCTAGACCATCTGATTCACCGACACTGGCGTTGGGAAGATTGTTCACAAGTACGCTCCCCATAATGCTAATTACTCGGCCTGGGCGAAGTCTCAGCACCGAGTATGGAAAGGGAAGACCATTGCATTTTTAATGGACTGAAGACCAGTAAATCATGGCTCAATCAGCTCCCAGTTCATGCGGTTGTAACCTCTTGGGAGAATTTCGGTCTCGTTGAATATGAATAAGTGGCCGGATCTCGTTGAATGAGCCGTAACTTTGGAACTGGCGTCAGTTCTCCGCACCGCTGGAGCGTGTTCGGCCATTCGCGTTCGGATTCGTCTTCTGGTTTCTCCGACATAATTGTCTTGTTCGCTACAGCACCAGATCCGATAAACGACTCCAGACTTTTCTTGCCATGGCAGCGGGTCTTTCGGTTTCATTACCTGACGCCTGATGATCGCCTTCGGTCTGTGTGCAACTACAACCACAAGTGGTGCGAGAAGGCAACTGACAGCTTCCAAAACGTTCTCGACATACGGAAGCGCTCGCCAAAATTTGATGTCCGTGCGGTTTGGCCCTCCGTCGCTTTTGCGAATGCACCGATTGACGAAGTTTCGGGGGTAGCCATTGGCTTTGAAAACCCGTCGGAGGTATTGTAGATCAGCAATCTTGTCTTTCGGCTCACTGCAGTGTGTTTCGAAACGCTCTAACTGCTGAGAACCCGTACTCATCAAAGGTAAAGTTCCGCAGTTGATCTTCACTGTGTAAAGCGACTTCTAGTAACTTTCTGGGCGAGAATCGAAGAATCCATGTTGGTTAGGAGATCCTAGGTTTTCTGGTTGCCTTTTCCCTGGTGGTTTTGACTTATAGCGTCAAAATCCAAACTAATTGCATTGGTCTCTTTGCATTCAGCAGGAAAAGTTTTCAACAAGTATAACAAAAAGAGACAATCTTAAAAGTTCTAACGGCTATGTTGCCGTTCTACATGGCAACTTCCGGCATGATTTTAGATACAAATTAATTCTTTATTTTTTCGCAACAGGGGTGCAAAGTCAGGTATACTCTAATGTTAGCAGCCAAAATTCCTCGTTTCTCATCCTTGCCCACCTACATATGTTAGGGTACAGAAATGTGGAAATTAGTATTTGGCTCTATTGATAAACCGGTTGTTTCATAATAATAATAATAATAATAATAGTGTATCTTAGGGTAATAGGCAGTGTCCCTAATGACACGGTACATAAAATATAAATGATAAATGTACATCTTACTAATATTTTGTCAGTAACATATTTGTTCACGGAAAACGTTTCCATAGTTCGGGACTGCGAAGGGTGCGGCAGGCGATCTTCTCAGTGTACATATGACATTTTAAGTGCAGTTATATACAATCAGCGCATCTTAGTGTATTCTAAATATTTGGCTTGTTTCTTTCTACTGCGACCTTTAAAGATGGAGTTGTCCACCGAAAACTTTGATTAGATGATAACAAAATGCCCCGTAACTAATTCTAGAATCTCATTGGTAGCTTACTAAGGTTGCCATAGGAATGCGAAATTGACCTGCAAAAAAACATACAACTTGTCTGATAAATAAGTCTGTTAAAGATATTACCATCTCAGAATATAGATTCCTGGGTTAGGGAATATGTGTACTTTTATGTTCTGCCGAAGAAAGTCTCCTTTCATTGGAAGGAAGCATTTTGGCACGACTAATTTCATAAAATTACCCAGTTATCGTTAATTTCACTTTTTGCTTGCAAGTTGGTATCCAATCCTCACTGAGGATATTGTGAGGGAACACCTCAACGGATGATTTTTCGTTTCATAGTTTTGCAACGTTTATAAAAGTTCTGGCAACCTGAAAATCACGTACTATGTATTGCACGTGTCGCTAGAGTTGCAGTAGAAACACAAACTAATAAATCTGTGGACTTTTACCGGAGCAAACAACTCGAAAAATTTCATTTTAAACTTTTATAAAATCCTACGGAATAAATCATCTTTTCATGATAGCAGAATTTTAAAAAAATGTACATGTTGATCATGATAAAATGTGTTTTAAAAATATTAACGAAATTTTCCTTAATTTTCTTTGCAGATGCCGAGGCAGCAGAAATGCTTTCTGAAGCAGATAAGGATGGGGACGGCCGTGTTACTTTCGATGGTAGGCCTGCACAGTGATCATGTTTACAAACAATTGCATCGTTACTTTAACCTCAATAAGTAGATATTATCGGTAACTTTTCTTATTGCAGAGTTTTCCACAATTATGTCTGAGCCGCTGACGGAGAAAAAGCCGGACGAACAAAGTTAACTAAGGAACCCGCTATTATCCCTTTCGTGTACCAACCATTGTACAGCGTTAACTCAGTTTCGCCTTTTTTTCTACCCTGCTCAATCGCTGCTGCGTATGGAGGCCACCGTAACGGTCTCTGCTTCAGTTTCCCATCAGACTCTACCAACGCAAGGTCTTTATGACTGAGCTTTCTATAACTGCTCATTTCTTATGGAGAGGTTGAACCTTGACTCTTTCCATGAGCTGCATTTGTCAGCGAATGGTTTCTTCACTTGTACAATTGAATTAATAAATTTTGGTTAGAACTCAGCCATCTGGTATCTTTTTTACAACCGTATATAATTCAAACACCTGACAGCATTTTCCTGGTAAAGAACTTCCTTGCCTTCCATCGCCCGTGTTCAGTGAAGGGCCGAACAGATGGGAGGTTAGCAGTCATCACTTTTGTACCAATGCGGGATGAAGTGTGAGACATTCCAGAGTACCCTGAACCTAATGCCAGCATACTTCGTAAGCGGCGACCGGAATAAAGGAACTAGAGCTTTTTCGACACGGTGAAGGTGACGGAAATTGTTCCTTGAGAAATTGCGGATGGCGGACGACGACGTTATAGATTTTTCACAATACCTGCCAATCCAGGGTCAAATATTGAGTCTTTTATTTGGTCATAGCTGAATGTTTCACGGAATTTAGATGTGGAAGTCTCACGCATGTGTCCTGCATGGCCATCTCACGCATTCGAGGTTCAAGTCGCCACCACTCTGTGAGAAAGACCAGCGTGCTTTGCAGATGGTCATTTAGTGTGTGACACAAGTAAACGGACAATTTGCCTATGTCAGACATCGGCGGCCGAACCCAGCATCCGATAACTGACCGGCTCTGACAGTGGACTGGCGTATGAGACATGGAAGGGTGGCTGAGACCGAGCCCCGCGACTCAATCTCGGCGGAATTTCAGGCCATTCGTCATTACAATAAATCTAACGCGCATGAAACAATCAGGATGCGCTAAGAGTCGTGGACTGGGATGTTGCCAATTGACAGGACAACTCACACTTCGCGACGTGACTCAGTGGTGGGGTGTCAGGCTTAACGTCCCATTCATAATGTGGCTTCCACGACAGTTACGCATTTGAGGTCGGAGCCGCCCACTACCCTTGTGTAAGAAAACCCCAAGTGATGCGGAGGGGGGTGAGGTTGTGTGCGGCTTGTGCAGACTGGCTATCCAGTCGCCAGCCACGCTGGCGTAATCTCAGCATCAGAAGACTGATCTCTCAGACGGTGAACTGGTGCCAGTGAGAGGAGAGAGAGAGTGGGATCGACTCTTGGGACTTAATTCCCATGACATTCAACGCTTATCTCTGAATATAAACGGTCTGACGTCCTTATGAACCATCATGGTGCGCCAAAAACTGTGGCTTGGGAGGCTGCAGCTGACGTCATAAATCGGTTCCCCCGGGACAGAGAGTGCGGTTGCAAGGTTTCCTTCCTCTTGTGGTCCCTATGGCACTCCGACGTTGGTGTGGTCTGAGCCGACTCCTTTCTGTTTGTATGAAAACTGGTCCTTCTTACGTAATCCACTGGTGTTTGGCACGCGTAGACAGGCTGTTTGGATTTGTCCGGCACTGCCCCCGACCCCACCTCCGGTCTCCCTAACTCTCCCTCTTGACACTGGGTTTGGTGGGTGGGGAGGAGAGAGCATGGTCGATGCATCACAGGCGTACCGTCATTAAAAAATTACTCTTGAGAAAGGCACCGTTCCTGCGTCCACACTGCAGTGAGGCGGACAGTGAACATTGACATCCGTGACGATAAAACTGCCAGAGTAAGACTACTCACAAAATAGTCGATATAGGCGAAGATGCGAGTTCCAGGAACTAGTTGATCAGAAGAAGAAGAGATCGCTGGAACAAGGGCTTTATTCGCCTGACGTTTCGGACTCTCAGTTGAATCCATCATTAGAGACAGCGGCAGAAAAGGGTGACTCGTGCAAAGAAATTTGCAGTATTTGTAGGAAGCAGTCGCTATGCTACCGCATACCTAGAGCAATTAACCGCGCTCCCCCTCTCCAAGGGTTGTTGCCCGCTGGTGCACTAATTGATTGATGGTAGGCATACCAGTTGTTAATTGCCTAAATGCCATCACCCGTGTTGGATGCTGGCGTGGTGATTGATCGGCCATCTGGCTCACTGGCTTGCGCGCTCCCGCAGTGGTCAATTACCTTGGCCAGCCTATGTCCGGCACTGCCCCCGACCACACCTGCGGTCGCCTTAACTCTCCCTCTTTACACTGGGTTTGATGGGGGGTGGGGAAGGAGAGAACGTGGTAGATGCAGCACAAGCGTACCATCACTATAAATTTACTGGTGAGCAATTCACGTCTCTGTGTTTACACTGCAGTGAGGCGGACGGGGAACATCGACGTCTGCGACGACTAAACTGCCGGAGTAAGACTACTCTCAAAATAGTCCCCAATTCTGACACATGACTGGTCTCTGAAGTTTATGTCTACAGTCCTGCTTGCTGCCCCAGTCACCTCTTAAACGTGAAACTGTCAGTTTTCTTGATTTGGATTTCTATTTAGTCATCGGCTAGTCATGGGTGAAACAAGGGGAATTTCTGGGTTTGGAATTTTGCTAATGATCGCGGTCAACCACTTGCTTTATCACTGCAGATGCGGCATTGACGCGCATCGTCACTGCGAGCGATAAAAACCTGACGAAGACCTGACTGGTTGGCTGGTCGTCCTCGACAGCGGACACAGAGAGTAATTTCCTGTCATGGCCAAGATTCTGCATTAGCATATCAAAGTGGTCTCAGTTTTTTTCTTCTCCTCTGCCTTGTTCCGTTGACCGTATACGAACAATGTAATAGGAGAGATTGCGCTTTCTTTAAGTTTTATTGTGTTTCTGATGTAGCGCAGGTGCAGTATCCCTTCCTTTAGAGTAGTCGTGCAAAGTTGTTTCGGGGAAAATCGCCAGTGATATCGAATGCCGAACACTTTTACGCAAAAGCTCTTTACTCAGTCGGTTGGACGGCCTACTGATCGCCATTGCAATGTCGTTATAGGCTTACGGTGGATGTGATATCTCATGAGGTGCTTGCCACAATTCTGAAGTGTGTCTTCCATTGGAAATGCTTATTCGAGTAGACATTTTCAGCAGTTGACACCTGTGTACTGTACTCCACTAGTCCCATCCTATACAGAGAAAGCAAGGACAAATTACAAGTTCAGACCACCTCGCCGTGTATTTACTACATCACCCGCTCCTGCGGGCAGAATATGTTGGTCGTACGAGTCGGCGTTTATGCAAAAGAATAAAAGAACATCTTCCAGCATGGTTAGGAAAAGGTCAAATAAAGAAAGTCAACAACTCGATCTTCGCGCGCATGGTGGACACAAACCACCGTGTAGACGCCAGAGCGGCCTTAAGAGTAATTTGCAAGGTCTCGTCAAGCTATGTAAAACTACTTGAGCAGCGCCTATTGGCAACGGCAGAGGCGGCTGCAATCAGCTTACACGGGCCGGTCCTATGCGCGCAGAATAACTTCATACAGGTCCCTCAGTTGCCATGGGTCAAATCCCCCAAGCTAGCCACACGCATATGACTGCCTTCCCCTGGGTCCACCTTCTCCCTTGCGCTGACTCGATTTTTTTGTGTTTAACTCTCCCCCTCCCCTCCTCGAACCCGAGCTAAAGGATAATTATCTACTTTGCCTGTATCTTTTAGTTCATTACCTCAATAGCCATATCAATGTAAAGGCCTGAAGGGAATTTATCGAAAGCAGACGTATGCTCGCCAAATTGCCCTTTGAATTTTGCTAATCTATTTACGTAGAGTCGTAGGACTAACCATCGCGCAGTACGATAACAAGATATTTCATAAGAAGATGAAAGCGCACGCTCGCTTCCATCCGTTAAGATATTTCACTTACGTCAGGATGCCGCCTTTAGAAAGAGCTTCCTTCCGTCAGCTTTCTTAAACTACACCCTGTAGGAAATGGTTACTTGAGTGGTGCAAAGTTTGTTTTTATAGATTTTCGATGCCCTTATCCATTCAAACATATTCCATAGAAGACATGAAAAGGTAATACAGCTTTTTAAATGTAAACCGAAATTTTGAAAAGTGTATTCGGTTAGGAAGCACTACTTAAATGGGGTTGTAGTACTGATTTCTTTGCGGTGCAATACCAGGATATTTCAGACACCGTGGGATGTTGACTTTCGAGCGCGTTACTTTTTGGCCGCCTGCTAAAACCACACCCAAATTGACTACTCAAGTGGCACAATTAAGTATTCTCTCTCGTACGCATTTGGTGGCAAATCATGTCTTCTTAAAGTTTTGTACTCGAAGAGAGGGCTTTTCTTGGTTTTAAAAACGTTCCCATTCATGAGATTTTTAAGACCGAGCAATGCCCATTCGAATGACCTGTAATCTGTCTGCTTGATAATGCTCCTTGCTAAGTTTGCAACATAGCCCACATCCGTTGCAACAACTTATGATGTCGATGACATTAAAAGGGTGCATTTTTTTCTTTACACGGAATGTATACAGCTGGTGGACCGTAAATGCTAGACAGATATGCAACGACAGATGAGTTTAAAATTATTTTGGACTAAAAAAATTCTTTTTAAACCCAAAGATACTCTTTTCATTGAGTACAATGTTAAAAAGAAACGTGATTTGCTGCTTAATGCTGACACGAAGTAATGCTTTTACGGAGATTTTCTATAAAGTACATTTCAATTCAAAGGAGTCTTGGAGATCGGTGAAGAATGTGCATACTTCTTAAAAAGTCGTTTTACCCAGTGAGGTCTTTGCAGTCAGTTGGAAAAAAACTGCGCTCAAAAGCGAAGACGTTGACGTGTCTGAAATATCCCAGGATGGTTTTGCGAGACTGTCAATCTAAGAACCTCGTCTAAGTAATCTATCCAATTCGATAACACATTTCAGAATTTCGGCTAACATCTCGCGAGATCAGTCAACGACTGTATATCTTGTGCTCATTTGGGATCAAC